TGTTGTATTTTGAACAGTCCCATGCGCATCCTCGTGAAATCATGAATGAAGTATTGAAAGCTCTTCAAGAACTCAACGTGTGTTGGAAGAAGATTGGTCACTACAACATGAAATGCCGATGGGTTCCAGGTTTTGCTCATGGTCAGAATACTATGGACAACAATCAGCTCCACTTCAGAGATGAATCCAGCATCATTGAGGATGACTGTGCCATGACCTCACCCACCGTCATCAAATTTGAACTTCAGGTAACTGCAAACTCACATATATCACCAAAACTTAACCGGCTAGGACAGATACTATAGACCGTTCTCCAAAACTTGAACCAACTGTTTCATAGTAACAATGCTCACATGTATCATTACAGAACACTTCCAACACATTTTCTGTACTACTTTTGAATTTGAAACAGCTGTACAAAGCTCGGGAAGAGAAGTACTTACTGGATATACAGAGAGTTAACGGTCCTCAGTTTCTATTCTTGGATCTATGCGCCGCCTTTCTTACAGAGCTCCGTGTGATCTGAGAGCTTTTAACCATTTGTTAAAGACATGTTTCACGGTTTGTATTAGTAGAGAAGGTAATATCAGATGCGGGTGCAGTGTTTACTTAACCGGGTTACCTATTATCTACCTGGATTCCAAGCTAAACTCTACTGTAATAGTAACTATATGTTTCCATTTTTTCTTTATGGTTATTAAGGTTAAGATACACTCTTGGTTGTTTTTTTGTTTGTTAAGACTAAGAGAGGTCAAAACTCAACTGTAGCCACAAGCCAATTTTATTAGAAAAATATTAACTATCTGTTATCCTAATTCGTCTAAGAAATAATTCAGAAATTGGTAGAAATATCATAAGTTGGATAGCACTTTTCAAAAATATAACATTTGAATTTAAAGTTTATTGATTATTGATTAGAGTTTAGTATTTAAAGGGTATGGTTAGATTTATCAACTTGTATAAATGGTTAATCAAAATTATTAATAATTAACATTTATATATATTAGTTTAATTTTTCATCACAAATTTAAAGTATTTATGAAAATAATTATATTTTAAAGATAAATTAGGATAAGACATGCGTTTTATGTAGGGTGAGTGTATATAATTAAAATGTAAAACTTTAGTATTGACAAATTTAAAATTTACATATGGTTGTTTTTATGGGGGTGCTAGTGGGACTTAGATTTCTATAGAGTTTGTTGATTTTAAAAGTTTAGAGATTTGTTAAATTTTGAAAGAGTTGTAGAGAATTTTGTATATTGTAAAAATCTATGAAAATAAAGTATTATAATGATTTTGAGAATCCAAGAGATATACAGTATGTAGTATTCTCAAAATCTTGTTATGTGTGTTAAAATGTTAAGAATGTAACTTTCAATACCACAAACTTTAATAGATTTGTAGAATCATTAAAATCTAAACTTTTTAAATAACAAAAAAAAATTAGAATTATAAAATCATCAAACCAATAACATTAAACTTTAATGAGAATGTAAGAATCACTAAACCAATAACACAAAACTTGAAAATTCTAATAATCCTTCTAAATTCCCACTAACACCCCCTATATGTATTTGAAATTTTGGATATTTTATATAATTATCTATACGTAGGATCAGAAACAATTGTAATTAGAAGTGTAGATCAAAACTTAGAATTTAATATGTTTGGTTCATATATCTTTTCATTTTTCAGTATTTGAGGGAAAAAAAATAAATGAAGTGTCACAGAGCTTAATTGGTAGATCATTATCAAGTTTCCTAATGTTTTCTTAAGAAGCAGATAGTAGAATATTTACATATAAAGTTTTAAAACTAATTTAATATAATTTATTAATTTGTCTAAGAATATTAGCAAATTATATTTTTAAAATTATTTCTTAAATAAAAAAATTAAGTTAAATTTTAAATTATAGTTATGTTTAAAATAAAATTATTTATTCATATGATATATATATATATATATATATATATATATTAATATAAACACCTATTAAAATAAAATTATTTTTCTGTATGATTTTATAATTATTGTAATTTATTCTAGAAAAAAAATTTAGACCTTAGTTACCAAAGTTTATGTGAAATTTTTAATAGTTTTAGTAATTATACCCGTTTTGAAAATTTCAAAATACAACATATAGAAAAAATCTAATTTTTTATTATATGATTATTGTAGTTATGTAATTTATTTTAATAATAATAAATTAAACAAAAATGATATAAAGTATACAGATTGTTAACAAATCTTTATCATTTAAAATCATTAATAGTCATATATATCTTAATCACATTAGATGAATTTGTAGGTTTTATTTAAGGAAATAATATATTGGAGCTTAAGTTTGATATGTTATTTAGTTTGATATGTATTATATGAGATGAAGTCAAGATCAAACCCATAAAACCATATATTTCTATAAACTTTATTTTC